ACCTACATTGGATCAGCACTTTCAGTCGTCTTCACATTCATCAGCCTGATTGTCTTCATTTGGTTACAGTGAGTGTCCTCATGTCCCGTGATGTGTCATATTTAAATATTGTAGAATATCTCTTTAGTTTAGCAGACGAGACCTTTTTTTCATCCTTTCATCAAGGACCTAAAGTAATGTGTTCATACAAAGTGAATTACTGCAATCTCATTTCATAGAAAATATAATTTTGTTTTGTTTTTTACTATGTTGTGAAAGATTAGACATTAGTTATTAAGCATCACAAAGCTAACTTGTCCCACACATTTAAGATGACATTCAATGTGAAATATTTTGCATCAAGCATTTCATTCTGAGTGGCAAAACCCAGGTCACACAAATAGCCAGGAAGCCCACCGCAGTGTTTGGTGGCTAAGTAGATGGCTTGCCTGTTTCTAAGAAGACTACTATGTTATGTTACTAGGTTACAGCGCCTCTCACCACATGTTGCTTCGTAGGACCTCAGTTGTTGCTCCAATTTTTGAAACTTTTTAAAAATAATGTTTCAACTTCCCTGCATGAATGCTTTTTTACAAAACCTAGTTAGTTTATAAACCTAAATAAATGCCTGGGTTTTTGTCATTTGCAGAGAGTAGGTTTTAGTTCCTTATAAGTAAATTATTGTTCTCTCTTCTATAGTTTGACGTGTTGTCTGTGACACTGCACCCTGCTGATAGTAAACCACTTCAGGCCCAGTCTAGTTTCAACACACCTATACGTTAGTATTGCGCAGCAGCTATAGCTATAGCTGATACTTTCGCCTGAAAATTGTAAATTTACATTGAACTTTGGCCACATCTCAATTTACCTTAAAGTATTTTACGGGGTTGGAAAGCTTGGAAACATTGGGAATCCTGTCAGTTGTTGTGAAAATGTTTATATTTAATGGCCAAAAATGACTGGGTTACCCAATCTGCTCCAAACTTCACGTTTGATAAGAGTCCAAGGGTGGAGACGTCTGGATGTCTGTTGGTCACAGATGAACAAACTACTGCATAGGCATAGAAACAAGAAATTGGGTACTTAAGTTGTAAACATCATTCAATGTTCATGAGATGTACAGGAAATTTTCATTGTGGGTTCTACACAGGACAAGCAACTCCTTCATGCAACTACCATGAAGAAATGTGTAAGGTATTCATGTGACAATAGGAAATAGCTTAACAGCAACAGTTGGCCTCAGCTGTAGCACACTTTGACAAAGTGTGAAGACCCTATCATCACTGCTGCCAGCTTCAGTTTTTTGTCTTTTATTGTTTAATCCACAGGACCACGAGCCTCACTTACACATAGACAAGACATTTTATCTTGTATATTTAGTCTTATAGCCATTATGGTAAATGGCCTGCATTTGTATAGCGCTTTACTCAGTCTCTAAGGACCCCAAAGCGCTTTACACTACATTCAGTCATTCACCCATTCACACACACATTCACACACTGGTGATGGCAGCTACATTGTAGCCACAGCTGCCCTGGGGCGCACTGACAGAGGCGAG